CTGTGGCCCGGCCCGCGGTCCTCGCGGTGCTCCGCTCGGCTGGCTCCGGGAGCGCAGAGGGACCCGGAAACGGCGCGCCCGGGGCGGGAGGCGCAGGGCACAGCAGAAAGCCTGTGCTTCGGGGACTCCTGGGAAGGGACGCCGGCGTTTCCCCGGCCCGGGCCACTCTCCCGGTCGCCCGCCGCGTCTCCTCGGGTCTCAACCCCGTTTCTCTGTCCATCGCTATCTCCTCTCCTCTCTCTGTCCCCCTACCTCCTTTTACCTCTCTTTCCATCACCTCTTCCCCCCTGTATATTTCTCTCTCCTCTCTCTAGCTCTGTATTTCCACCCCATCTTACTCCACCTTTGTATGTTCCTTTCTATATATTCCCATCCCCTGTTTCCCTCACCTTGTTCCTATATATTTATAATCTCTCTCTACTTCTCTTTATATCCCTGTCTTCTCTCTCCTTCTGCCTGACCCCCTTTCCTCTCTCTGCTCTAGTTCACTTGCTGCGGGACGACCAGAGAGAGCTGTCTGGAACCAAGCCTCCCCGCGGGTTTTTGAGAGGGTCTGTTGATCCGTGACTGCACGGTTGGCAGCGTTTCCCACGTGCGCGTCCCTGTGTGCGCGCCCCCCACCCGCCGCTCTCGCCACCGCTTGGAATTTACTGGCAGTTCACCTCCCCACCCTGTCTGTATGTCGTCGCCCATTAATGCTTTGGGAAGGTTTACCTTGGGCTCTGTCCCCAGCTAGGGAGAGAGCCACCTCTTAAAAGGGTGGTTCCAGTGGTTTGAAGGAGACACCACTCCTCCAGGGAACCTGCCCAGGAGCCCATCAGGTGGACAGTCCGAGACAGTGGTGAGTGTTTCGCTCCAGGTCAACTCAGGTTGCCTGAGAGGTAAACACGGGATTGCAGGTGCAAAACCTCCAGGTGGCTTCTAGGCATCAGCAGTGCCCAGGCGCCAGGTGGCCTGCTGGCCTTCCCCGCTGCCACGTTTCTCAGGGGATGGTCACCAAGGCCACGGTGACAGCTCTTCTCCCCAGGCTTTGCCCAGGTGTGAATCACTTCCCTGTCCCCAGCCCTGTCCCAGAAGGTGGGGAGAGTTGGCCTTGTGCTGCTCCTGCGTCATCCTGGTGATGGGGACCTGGCAAGGTGCTCCCCACACCGGGGGCAGCTCCTCCACCAGTCCCACCGCTCAGGTCCGGCGGCCACGGAAGCCTTAGGGAGAACTGGGCTTCTTGGCAAGGTGGCCAAGGGCTGGAAGCCTTGCAGGTCTGTGTCATGCTCCCCAGCCCTTTCAGGTATGCTCTTAAATAGCTTGCTAAACAGGCTGACCACGGTCTGGTTGTATTTCTGTAAAACCTATTGGCAGCGAGGAATGCAGTGCCTTCAATCTCAAGGGAGATTTAGAGGATGCAGACAAAGCCCCTCCCCTTTTGACTTTTGAATAAAAGGTATTTATGGAGCAAGCACTTTGCAAACTGTAATGGGTCAAATAGAGGTTTGTTCTCTAAATACCTGTATTTGCACTTATGTGGGCGCAAATGCACACACACATTTAGTAGTCCCCTGGGGTTCGTGGCAGGGCGAGGACTGGGAGATCCCGCAGGAGGGCCCTGAGATTGACTGGCATTCGCTCAGTCGCGTGATTCTGAGACACAAGTGTGTAGCTGCGCTTCCCGGCAGGCTCCTGAGACCCATCCATTAGATCCTATCAGTCTGCACGTCTCACACGCAGATGGGAGATAAGCTGAAAAATCCGTGTGGGAACAATTCAGAGCGGGGTGGGGCGGGGGCGTGGGGGCTGGCTAAAGCTGATGGATTAAGTCTCTGGTCCCCGCCCACTCCTGGAAGCCCTGAGTGCTTCTGGGGTTACATTTTTTCTTACAAAAATACCTGCACCCTGGTATTTATTGCTTACATGCCCTGATTTTAAATAGTGGTATTACCCTTGGTTTGTATAGTCACGGTTGTCTCTCATCCAAGAGAAAGGAGGGTATTTCTTCCTAGCATCCTTCCTGATTCTCCCCCTCCCCCCCCCACCGTCTTTAAAGGCATTTGGACCATTGGACGGATTTTCTCCCTCCTGGACCTGTTACCATCTTTCTAAGTGACGTCCTAGTTGGAGGTCTACAGCAGACTCCTCTGAGACTTGTCAACTAAGAGAGGGCATGGGAAACACGGCTGTTCACGTACAAAGAACAGTAAAACAACCGGAAGCCCCAGATTGATTAGTTTGGTGGTATTTCTGCCTCTGAAGCATCAATTGGGTGCCCCGTTGCTGCTCCCTCATGGTGGTTAACTGCTTCTCACAAAACCTGCGGCTTCCTTCAAGTGCAAACCGTAACTCGGGGAGACTTACCAAGTTGGTGAATCAGCTAAATAAACGAGGAAGTAAATTATAACCAGAAAGAGTTGGTGGGCCTTTCTGTTCACCCTCACACAGCTGAGCGTTCAGCGTGCCCGTCCCTGCGTATTTGGGATGTGTTTTCCCTTCCTCCATGTGCAACCCAGGTTTCTCATCTATAAAGGTGGTTACATACTGTCTCCTCGTAGAAAGGGTTTCATCCCAGAAAGGGCTTAGCCCCCTTGATGGTTTTCCAACTTAAAGAGGGAAGGTCAGGGGATATTCTGGAGAAATCCTGATCTTATCTTTGGGGCGGCATTATAATTTATCGCAGTGATTCTTGGCCCTGGCTGCCCATTAAAATCGTTTGGGGGAGATTCTGGGGGAAAACAATCCATGCTGGTGCCCCACACCAAGCTACAATTGCTGCAGGTGGAGCCTCAGAATCCTGTTTTTCAAAAGCTCGTTAGGTTTAGCCGCTGGTTGAGAAGCACCAATTGAGGACTGAGTGCGCGAAGGATTTCAGGTGAGAAAGGCCTACGTGAGCCCCAGATGTGCCCCTTACAGCTTGCACGGGGGACCTCCTGACATGTTGGTTTCCGCGTGTCTGGGATGATGAAGCTGTCATGACCGACACTGACGGAAGCTGCTGAGGGAAGCGTCTGCTCTTCCCTTGTGGTTGATCCTCCCAAGAGCTGTGTGAAGCACCCCTGCAGTTCAAAGAGCCCAAGAAAGCAAGTCACTCGTCCAAGGCCTGAGGACGTGCCGGGGCCTGACTTCGAACTCTGCTTGGCTCTAGACCCTCTGGGCCACCATGCTGTTGTGTTGTTGACTGATTTGCTAAACTGCCCAGTCCCTCACTGGCTGGCAGAGACCAAGTAGGGTTGGGAGGGCCGTTTGCTGCACAAAGATTCACTAGGCCGTGAGTTAAAATGTGCGTGCGAAGTAATGAACGAGACTGGCGTCCAGCCCATGGTACAGAAGAGCTTTTGAAAGAGGTTTTGCTTAGCTGGGTCCTCTCCACCCCGCAGACTGTCAGCCCGCCCCGCCGGGGCGAGCTCACCTAGACTCTGGTTCTTACCATGAGCTAAGCAGACCCTTTGGCCTGATGTGATCCCAGGAGAGGGTTTGTGTCCGGTGAACCAGTCAAGTTGCCCACCATTGTGTTCTGGGGCTGCACGTGGACCCGTTTCGCAGAGAGCCCTTCCCAGGTGGTGGCATCACCACAGGGTCACAGCAGGGCTTTCTGTGCAGCATTCGGTTTGCCCTTGCCTGCGGGGGAGCAGGTTGCCATGGTTACTGTAGACATGCAGCCATGAAACTTCCACCGGGCTGTTCTGGGCACTGACTCCATCTACATCTGCAGCTTGGCCATCTGTCTTCCATTAGTTCCCCCGAAACTTGTTGTTGAAGAAGAGCTTACCTGCTCGTAGAAAAGAGCGTGAGTGACATCTTTTTGAGGTTAACATTTTGGAGCATCTCTGGGTGGAAGAAAGCTTGCAGTAGGTTCGGGAGCAACAGCAAAGTCTCTTCCAACGGTTTGTTTTATATTCTGAGCCTGAATTGTGGAGTCAGGACGGTGGGCGAGAACAGCTGTCGTGCCTGCTGTGGCAGTGGGTGACATCAGTCAGGGAGGATAGCAGCTCAGTTGGGGAGTAGGGCTGGAACTGGAACCCTCGAATGCAGCCTCTGTCCAGGATCTTCAAACAATTGCTTCCTGACCCCTCTGACATCTGTGTATCTCCCTATCCACAAGTGCTGTTTGGGAAATCTTGTGTTAAACTCCATACTTATTTTCCCCAATCCCTGTGCTGTCAGGGAAGAAGAGGCAGAGGCAGAGCTCCAGGCAGGAAGGTATGGGAGTTGAGAGGGTTTAAAAAGTTCTGCCGAGAAGAAGAAACTGAGGGTCAGAGGGGAACTGAGGCAGGAGCAGGTGATTATAGGATCATGAAGGCACTTGAGATGAGCTGTGAGTTTAAAAAAGAAGGAGGAGGTGGGAGAGGGTATAGCTCAGTGGTAGAGTGAGTGCTTAGCATGCACGAGGTCATGGGTTCAATCCCCAGTACTTCCGTTAAGTAAAAACAAATAAATAAATAAACCTAATTACCTACTCCCCCCACCCCCCCAAAAAAAGAAGGAGGAGGGATGAAAAAGTAAGACCCGAAGGTTTAGCCAGACCTTGTGTGTCCCTGCTCTCCTGGGGACCCCAGAACGCCTGGGCGGAGGGCCAGCTGTAGCCACTTTTGGAAGACCCCCTGGCAGCTCTTTGAATCTCATGCAAGAAACCAAAGGACTGGGGGAGTGACTTCTGCTTTGCCAGATAAGGGAGTAATGCTTTATTTGGGTTTGAGTTTCAGTGTGAATTTTTGGCTTAAGATACTTACTCTGTCGTGTCTTTATGGTTTTTCTTTTCCTCACAAAGTGTCTACTGCCGGAGGAGATTTGCATATATGACGAGTGGGTAGAGAAGTAATACCCCATTTGATAAATCAGCCAGCCTCTGTCTCCGCTGCCTTGGCATGAGTCCCACAGAAGTATTCCATGCGTGTGCACAGCTGAGAGTGTGCGCGCGTGTGTGTGTGTGGTGTGTGTGTGTCTCTGTGCGTGTCTGGATGCTCTTGGGAGCAGCGTCACCGTGAGGACATTGGATGAGACCAGGGGAAAGCCGGTGGCTTGGGGGAGGGAGTATTGTTTCCAGGCACCAGCGAGGACACTTTTGCTTTCTCATGTGTCACCTGCAGCTGCCACAGTGCACACAGCAGGTGTGTCTTCTGTCCCCGCTGGCTTTTGGGAAGGCTGCCTGGGGGACTCAGGAAAGCCTGTTGGTGCTTCCTGGACTGACTCAGGTGCCCACGCCGGGCAGGGAAATGCCTGCGTTTTCTAGGAACTTGTTTGTTCCCGGCCACTGGCAGCTGGGGAATCCCAGCCCAGGGTTTTCGTGGCTCCTAGGTGTCTCCTGGCCTCCCAGTGGCCCTTCTTTCTGCTCCTCACTCTGCATGGAGAAGGTTGCTGATAGTCTAGGGACGGGAGAGGAGGAATGGTCCCTGGATGTTGCGTTGCTTCCTCGTGTCCCCAGCCTGCAGCTCTGGGAGGCAGACCCTAGCAGGGCATGGTGGGTGCTCGGACACATGACCTCAGTTTGGTCACCCAGCCCAGGATGGGGCCGTGTTGGGGCATCCAGTTTAAGACGAGGCGCCTCCTTCAAGCCTGTGCCTGTCAGTGGCCGGGTGGCCCCCTCCGTCCCACTCGCGCTCATTTGCTTAGAGGGAGACAGAGCCCCCGTCTAACTGGGGTTTGTGGTGCAGCCTGAGTAGCCACGCGACCCTTGAAGCAAAAGGGAGCTGTGTGACCTGAGGGTTCTGGCCTCCAGGGGCCCAGTCTCGCTGGGCTGAGGTGGGAAATTTTTACAGCCTGTTGTTGGCTCTGCTGGGCGCCTCATTCACGACACTTCCCGTGTTGCTCTCCCCAGCCTGTGGGCCCAAGCTCACCAACTCCCCGACGGTGATCGTCATGGTGGGGCTGCCCGCCCGGGGTAAGACCTACATCTCCAAGAAGCTGACCCGCTACCTCAACTGGATTGGTGTCCCCACGAAAGGTGAGGCCAGGCCAGGGCTGTCACATCGCTGAGGCTGCCCTCCTGCTCGTCATCCCCTCCACCTCCACCCCCCCAAAAAAGGAACGGCCCTTCCCTCTCCAGCTGCGGGGACTGGACTTGCAGGACCACATGAGGGCGGGGCTGGCCCTGCTGGGGCGGGGGGCGCCTTCCTTTCTGGCTGAGCCGTCCACCACCCTGTACGCACAGCTTGCTTTGTATTGGGGCCTCTGCTCACTGGCTCCTCCCCACTGCCCTGAATCCTGCCCAGCTCAGCCCTCACCTCCTCCAAGAAGCCTTCCCTGACCTCCGCGGTCTGTGTGGATCTTTTCTTTGAAATTCCCAAAGCCCTTAGCAGTGACATTCCCCCACTGACCATTAAAAGGGCTCTGTACTGTTGACTATGTTTTTATGAACCTTCCCAACTACACGGGGGATGTCTTGAGCCTGGGGACTAATTTCTCACATTTCCTGCACCGCTCCCCCGCCCCCCCGTGCCAGCGCAGTGCTTTGTGCCCTGAGCGCCCAGTCAGTACCCAGCACCCAGTACCCATCCTGGATGCGGGCTGCTGAGCAATGCTGGGTCTAGGGGAGCCAGGCTGCCTTCAGGACGTGGAGCCCACTGTCGGGTTTCCAGGTCTTCCCAGGATCTTGTTCAAGTCGGCGTCCTGTGCTGGCTTGGCATCCTTTTCTGGAAAGCGCGCTCGTGGCGGGGAGCGGCCCCTTGCCGGCCGCCCGCTCAGGGGCCTCTCTTTCGCACGCAGTGTTCAACGTCGGGGAGTACCGCCGGGAGGCCGTCAAGCAGTTCAGCTCCTACAACTTCTTCCGCCCCGACAACGAGGAGGCCATGAGGGTCCGAAAGTAAGGGCCGGGCTGCTGGGCCTGGCGCGGCTTGGGGCTCTTTTGCTTTGCTCTTTAATGCCAGCTTGTGAGAGAGAGGGGGGCAGCCGGCCCGCGGTGTGGCCGCCAGCCACGCACCGCCTACCCCCGCCGGGTACCAGCAGAGCCTCCCGGCCTCTGAGACACAGCCTTCGTCTGCTCCCAGGTGGTCTGATTCCGCTGATGTGATACAGGCCAACAAGGTCTCATTAAGAATGAACAAAATGGTTTTCCTGGAAAGTCATGTTTACATCTGAAAAGGACTGTGTTTAAGCCCAAGCTGACCAGGGAGCCCCAGTGTGACGGCTGCATTTAGAATCACCTGGGAGCTTGACACGACCCCGGTGCCAGCCCCCCTGAATGGGTGCAGCGGGATCCGTGGGCAGGACCTGGGCATCCGTGTTTTGAAAGCTCCCTGGGGGGATTTCAGGACGCAGCCGGCACGAGACCGCTTCCGGAGGCTGCAGCCACATGTGGGGGGCTCCAGCCACATGGGCGCCACCAGCCTGAGCAGCTTGGCAGTAGAATCGTCAGTCACCCTGCTCGTGGGGGTGCGTGGGCTTCCCTCTCGGAGGGACCCGCTCTGATGCACTGGTTCTCCTTCTGTGTGTTGCAGGCAGTGTGCACTAGCTGCCCTGAGAGACGTCAAAAGTTACCTGACGAAGGAAAGGGGCCAGATTGCAGTAAGTCTGGGGAATAAGCCCCGTCTCTGATCCCTCCCATAGCGGCATGGGGCCCTGGACGGAGGGGAATGTGGGAGCGCAGACGGAGCCCTGAGGGGAGGCCTCACGTGGGGACAGGTGCCTCTGGCCTGAGCGGCAAGGAAGCAGGTGGCGAGGGCAGCACAGGGGCCCGGGAGGAAGATGGGCGGCGGGGCGGGCGGCACGGCCAGCTGCACCACCTCTGGTGCGGCTGGCCCCGACCTCCGAGGCAGGCTGGACCCGGGGCAGCTGCAGCCCTGGGAGCCAGTGCCCCTTCCTCCAGCGTCCTCCCTGCTTGTTGCTGTTGTTCGTCTGCTTTGAGGACTGTTCCCATCGCTCCCCTATGGTCCCTGAGTTTGAGAGGCAGTAGGGGGGATGGAGAGGGTGGGTGGGGAGGGCACAGTGTCTCCTGGAGCCCCAGGACCCGACAGGCCTGACCTCTGGTAGTTTGGTAAATACTGGTAAGCTGGATTCTCTTCACGGAGCTTCTTTCTCCCTGCCAGGTTTTCGATGCTACCAATACTACTAGAGAGAGGAGACACATGATCCTTCATTTTGCCAAAGAAAATGATTTCAAGGTGAGGCAGAGGCTCAGGAGCAAGGGAAGCGCCACAGGCATGGGCTGGTCCTGCGGTCGGGAGCGCCTGCGCGCCCGTGCTCGGGCCTGCCCCTCCCGCTGCCCTCGTGTGGCTGCCTGCAGACCGGGCCTTCCTGGCGGGGGCCTTAGGGGCCTCTGTGACTGGAAGGGGGAGCGCATCCCTCTGCTGAGGAGGGCGAGGGTCGGGACTGAGCGGCTGGTTCTTCCCTCTGTATTTGGGGATTTATGAGTGGGGTCCTTCCTCCTCCAGTGTGGTGATGACATCACAGTGACACCAGAGTTGGCCCTCTGTGTCCCCACATTGATTGTTCCCTAACATTTTTTTGTCTCGCTCCCTCCCAGGTGTTTTTCATCGAGTCTGTGTGCGATGACCCCACGGTTGTAGCCTCAAACATCATGGTAAGACCACGTGGGACCTCCACCAGTGTGGCCATCTGAGACAAGTGGCCCAGAGTAGTCACTGGACCCTGAGAATGTGGTTGGTTTTGTCTGGGAAGTCAGAATTGCAGAGCAGTCTTTAAGCAGATTCTATGACCTGGACTGGCTTTATCAAGGCAGAGAGCAGTCTTTGTGGGACATAGGAGAGAAATCGGGGGACCGGGAACAGTTTCTGTGGGTAGCTTGGCAGCTGGCGGGTGACGGGGCTGCCTGGGGCAAAGGATGGCTCGCTCCTCCAGATGGGAGAGGAGGTAGCAGGCTGGTCTCTTTTGCTTTTGAGGTCCCTGATGGGTAAGAATGGTTGTGTGTTGATAGAAGCCCCTGAGACTCAGCAGACGGATGGAAGTTGGAATTCCCAAGTCTGGGAAGAAGCGGGGTGGTAAAACTGTCTTCCTGCTCCTCTCCCCGTGCCAAGGGGGAGTTGCCCAGCTCAGTGGAGGGTCATTGGCAGCTTAACTTGATTAATTCTTAAATGTGATTTGCTAGCAAGAGATTGTACACAGAAATGGTTTCTATGAAGACTTCACCACAAGTCACCTTCTCCTGTTGTAGGTTGGTTTCTCTCCAGCTTAAATACATCAGAGTCAGATGTTACACACAAAGAAAAGCAGGGCTGACACTTCTGCAGGGGACACTGTGGTTCTGCCCCAGACACGTGTGCATCCTGTAAAGGAATGTGAGGCCTTCACACCTGGTGTTGGGCCTTCCCTCCAGGCAAGACTGCTTGCAAACATTTCTCAGAAGTGAGTTCATCTCTCAGGAAGGGCTATTGAAATGGTGGAAATCAGTCCAGCGGCCCCAGAGGCTCAAAGTAAGAGGAAACAGAAGTGGTCATGCTCTAAACAAAGGGTTTTTCTGTGTTTCTGGGGTGTGCGTCTCCCAAGTCCCCTTTGGTAGTGAAGTGAGATGCAGCTTCAAAATCATTTTTTCCCCAGTGAGCAGTCGCCACGCGCTTGGCCAGAAGCTGACCATCCAGCTCGTACTCTGGGGACACGTGCATCCGTGTGCCCTGACCCTCCAGGTTCAGAAGTCCCTTCCTCTGATTAAGCCTCAGAGCAGCTTTGCAGTTTCCAGGCCTTTCCATTGTGCTCTTTATGTGGGAGGCTGTGCTGGAGGAAGGAATCTGTGAACTTAGATTTTTTTTTATTATGCTAAAATACATAATTTTTTTGTTGTTGAAATGTAGTCAGTTTACAGCGTTGTGTCAGTTTCTGGTGTACAGTGTCACATTTCAGTCATACACATGCATACATATATTCCTTTTCAAATTCTTTTTCACTGTAGGTTGCTACATGGTATTGAATATAGTTCCTTGTGCTCTACAGTAGAAACTTGTTATTTACCTATTTTATACGTAGTAGTTAGTATCTGCAAGTCTGGAACTCCCAATTTATCCCTTCCCACCCCCTTTCCCCTCTGGTAACCATCAGTTTGTTTTCTATGTCTGTGAGTCTGTCTGTTTTGTAAATAAGTTCGTTTCTTTTTTTTTTTGGATTCCACATATAAGTGATATCG